CAATAGGATATCTTAGACCCGATTCACACTCCCTCTTCGCCCTTCGCCTCCCACTCACTGTTCCAATCTTTAAGGATTCTTCAAGGACAAAATGGCCAACAAATGGTCCAAACCACAAAAGAGGAGGGTGGGGAGGGCGGGGAGGCCAGACCAGTGGGAATGGAGCACTTGGAATGGGAATCATCCCAAGAACTTCTTGTGCAGGTTGATACAATGCGCCGAGCGAAACCAGTATCATTGAAAAGCAGACAGAGAAACTGTGTGATGGGAGCCTGCTTTTCTGTGTACCCTTCCTCTGGATATGCAATACTTACTTTTAAGAATGCCTCCTACTTTAGGGGTTCTTCCCTAGGAGTGTGAGTACTGACCCAATTCTCATTGGTCAACCTACCACCGCAAGCCTATCTAATGGGTCAGACTGTGGGCCGCTGGATAAGGTCTTGTGAACGAACGCCCAGGAGCTTATGGCCACCTGAGCTCTGTGCCAATACCGCTAGGCAGACCCGTAGTGGACACGCCGTTGCTAATATTTGTCATTCTAGGCTCTGCGTTCCACAGCAAACATTTCCGGTGACGAAATTTACTTTTCCGAGAAGTAAACCTAGGCTTACCATTCTCCAACTTTTCATATTGTTCTCTTTTTTCAAGAAATACTTCTTCAAACTAGATAAAGGATAGAGAGGCATGGTTATAAAGGTTATAATTTAAGGTCATCAAAAAAGAAATGATTACAATACAGAAGGTCCGGCTGCTTCGGGTCTAAAAAGCTACACAGAGCCACACTAGCCACAGGAAGGACCAGGAGATCAGCCAGTGGGAGACTGTGACCCGGCATGTGTGTAGATTAGCCTCGGCTGGCGTGGGAATGTCAGTTCTCTGGCCTCCTTGAAGGACACTCTTAGCCTCCCCATTCCGATTTCCTCCTGTCTTCTCCTTGGTTCTTTCCTTTCTCCAAATGCATTTTCCCCATTTCCCCAATGGCTTACATTCTTACCCCTCTTCTGTTTTGTTCTACTTCAGTATCAAGACAAATATTATTACCCTTTGATGAAAGGGAATTCAATGAAAGGGGCTTGAAAGGGGTATCACATGGGTGAGCTCGCTCGTGCAGGTTCTAAAATATTTGTGGGAAGAATTGATTTTTTTGAACCTTCACCAATATTAATGATTTAGAGGAGGTGGTGAGAGGAAGGGTCAAGAGAAAAAAGCCCTCAAAGAGACATAGGTGGAGGTGGACAAACAGCCCATTCCTCTCAACGCAATTCAACGGATTCACCTCTGCTTAAACCAAGGGAAGGTGACCAGATATAAAGCGGGACACTGTTGACTGGGGGTGGGGGTGGGGGTTGTTGTTGATTAAAAATTTGGTCTATATGGACCAAATAGACCATTCCCTAGCTTGTTAGCATTCTTTCCAAAAATCGGGACTATTTAAAAATGCCCAGAATTGGGACTGTCCCGCCACAAGCGGATGTCTTGTCACCTTAAAAGGGGAAAACAGAACAAAAGAGGTTGCTATTCTAGTAGAGACCAAATTCAAGCTGGGAGAAGGAAGGCTGGACCTGCGTGAAGCAGAACCAGCCCCAGGCCCTCGTGAGAGGGTCTAAGGCAAAGTCACTGGGGAGTTCCGGGGAGAGCTTTAGGCTGACCTGACGGGCCTTCGGTTCAGACTGGCAGTCCCACACAGAGCAGGGTCAGGGCTGAGGCTGAGCTGGAAAGGCCTCTGAAAAGCAGCTGACCCCAACACAGAAAAGGAGTCAAATCCAGGCGGCAGTTCCTCCTTTGCCTTGCAAATCAGCAGGATGTTTCCACTCTATAGAGGGTCCGTCTTTCCTCTCCACCCCCATTTCAGCAAGGATGATGATCACTCCCTCGTTTCCCATCAAAGAACAGGTGGAAAAGCAGAGAATGGGCACAGCTTGGAGGCACCTGTCCTGGAGGTGAAAGGTGAAGGAGCCCCCTCCATCTTTTGACAGTTACCCCCATGCCCTTTCCCAACCAGAAACCAACCTCCACCCCAGCTCCAGCCAGCAGCCAGCGGATGGACTCCATTCTGCCTCTGCCGCGAAAGTAGTAGAGCTTGGGTTTGGCCGCCATGACTCCTGGGTGAGGGAATTTCTGAAGAAAAATGAAAGTTTAAGGAACAACCTAGCCCACACCATATGGCCGTGGTTCTCAACCTTCCTAATGCCGTGACCCTTTCCTACAGTTCCTTATGTGGTGGTGACTCCCCCCCGCAACCATAACATTATTTTCATTGCTACTTCATCACTGTCATTTTGCTACTGTTATGAATTGGGTGACCCCTGTGAAAGGGTCGTTCGACCCCCCAAAGGGGTTGCAACCCCACAGGTTGAGAACGGCTCCATTTATAAAAACCCTAAAGCAAGACTAAACTATGCATACACAGGAGGTCCAGCTATGAAGAACAGCAGAAAGATCTAACTATCACAGAAGCAGGGTAGTGGTTACCTGGGGCAAGGTCAATGGGAGTGCTAGCGGGGCACACCGTTTCTGGGGTGCTGCCAATACTCTAGTCCTTGACCAGAATTAGTCATTAGTCGTGATGGGGTGGGATAGTGTAGTGGGTTCCTCATTGGCCTGCTAGCTGCCAGGCCAGCAGTGTGAACCCATGAGTGGCCCAGAGGGGCACGATTAGGTTTTCTGTCCCCTTCAACGCCAGCAGTCTCCAGAACCCACACACGGTCTCTGTGGGGCAGATTCAACTCCAGATCAGTCAGGTGAGAAGCTGCGCATGTGTCCCACTCTGCGGCATGTATTCGCTCTCTCGCTTATACACACACAGCTAGAAAGAACAAACCACATTCTAAGGTATCAAGGTGTTTTGCAGCGTGAGAGGCTGATTTTGACATCTTGCGACAGGAACCGGGAAGGACTATATTGTTTTTATGGATGAAAACCTGCTAAAAGCACCCAGAAGGCAAGGAGTCCTTGCGGCTCTTAGACCAAAGTGATGCAAGTCGGAATGAACTAAGGGCTTCATGAAGGTACAATGTGGCATCACAGGAGCAGAATACAGCCTTAAAGAATGAATGTATAAAATACGAATATGTTGACCTGGTTCCCTTAGCTTGTGCCTTTTTAGATGAAGAGCCAAGATCTCGAATCCTTTTTCTTTGATGAATTTCCACAAAGACTGAGCTGAAGCATAACTTCGTAACACAGGAAACCGTGTTTGTGTATGCTTCAAAATCTAAACCCAGCATTCATTGTTGACAAAGTATATTGACAAAACTTAAGAGAACAGGTGCAAGGGATAATCGCGTTGTGTCCGTGGGAGGTGAAGAAACAGGAAACAAAGGAGCAGTAGTGCTTTCTGGGTTTCCCACAGGCAAACACTGTGGCTTTCGCAAGACCCAGGACCCAGTGGGTCAAGCTGAGTGTCAACACACACCCATCTCTTCAACTCCAGATTTCTGCCACTGATCGTGGCCACAAAAGGTGCCTCATGACTCAGTGGTTGAAGGACTCATCTGCTAATCGAAAGGTCAGTGGTTTGAACCCACCAGCCAATCTGTAAGAGAAAGATGTGGCAATCGGCTTCTATGAAGATTGATGGCTTTGACAACCCTGTGGGATGAGTCTATGCTGTGGGGTCACCATGGGCTGAAGTTGAGGAAGGAAATGGGGTTTGGTGTGTCTGCTGTCCAGCAGGGGGGCCCCGGATTACACACCTGATTCACCAGCTCCTCCTGTGAGTCTTAAAGCGCTGGGAACCATCTCTTAGGTCAGTGGTTCTCAATCTTCCTAATGCTGCGACCCTTTAATACAGTTCCTCATGTTGTGGTGACCCCCAACCATACAAGTATTTTCGTTGCTACTTCATAACCGTAATTTTGCTACTGTTATGAATCGTAATGTAAATAGTAATGTGTTTTCTGATGGTCTTAGATGACCCCTATGAAAGGACCATTCGCTCCCCCCACCCCAAAGAGGTCACCACCCACAGGTTGAGAATTGCTGTCTTAGGATTCACAAAATTCACCTGAGATGAACTTCACCTATCAGTGGACCTGACCACGCCTACCCAAAGCCCCAGGCACCTACATCTAAGGTGGGGTGAACAGGCAGCAGTGACAGTCGCATGGCAACCTTTGACTAGTTGGAGAGTGATCCTTCAGTAAATATATATACACCGGAAGTCCTTGTAGAATATGTGCATAGACACATACCCGAATTATTCTAAGAGTTGTGTTTTGTGTCAACTTGGCTGGGCCAGGAGTCTCAGTGTTTGGCACCATCAATCCATAATCCTGAATATTGCCTGAGTTCTGTTTCGCCATTATGAAAGAGTACTGAACCCAGCAGAGGCGTAGAGGCCCATGGAAGAAGGGACGGTGGGTGTCAAAAGGAGAAAGGAGGGTGGAAGCCAGCCTGACCTCTGCTTCGTGGCGGCTGGCAGTGTGGGTGGAGAGCTGGAGTCTTCTCCCGACTGAATCAGAGGTCAGAGGTGACCCCCACGCCATTTCCCCTAACTGCCGAACCACTGAGAATCCTGGTCAAGCCACATTGACACAAAACTTACCTATCATAGTTCCAAACCCACTGCTGCTGTTAACTTGATTCCAACTCCTACCGGCCCTCTATAGGGTTCCTGTCTGTCTTTACAAGTACAGGAAACCTCATCTTTCTGCCTCAGAGAGGCCAAGTTCTAACCACTAGCCTCAAAACTATGCCGCCAGGGCTCCTGGTACTGAAAACACAAAGCTCTGGGTTCAAATCTCCATCTGAGGAAGTTTCTTAAAACTTCTTTGAGCTTCAGTTACCTCATTTGTACAATGAAGCAAATTGTTGATGTTTATTTGGTTAGTTATGAGGTTAAAATGAGATGTTGCGTATACAGACAACCAGACAATCTACTCTCCAGAAGAAAACACTCTAGTACTCTTATTTTGCATATGAGTATGCTGCAGGGTGAGGTCATATTTTGTACTGTTATGTCACTCATAGGTCACTATGAGAAGGAATCGACTTGACAGCACATATGGCCCCAGCAAGCTGAAAATAAATAGCAAATTACCCACAAGGTTAAAACAATTGCTGACTATGAGCTTCCATTGAACAACCAAATAGCACAATTAATCAGCCAAGACCAAGAACGGAGTACAAGCATTTCATCACTAACCTTATCTCTTCCAGACTCTCCTCTGTTGCCTGGGTGCTGCTGGTGGTGAAGGCATTTATAACTCTGTCCTTTGGGGTGGAAAATTCTGCCTAGTCAAGGGATTAGCCAACGAGCATTTCAGTGTGCCCACACCCTCTCAGGTTTGAGTTACAGCTATTGTTTGCATATTGGAGAGTTGTATAGGGTTACCCCTGGAGGAAGACAGTGAGGTTTCACTCAGCGAATACTCACGGGGTGTCACCCTGTGTCCTGGCTCTACCCCCATTCCTGCACCGTAGACACTCTCCATATTCTAGTGGCAAGAGCAGGCAGCATACTACGAAGTAATAACATCACAGGGTGCCACGTGCTACAGAGAACGCAAAATAGGGTGATAAGAAAGGGCCCTCTTAGCCTGGGAACACCCGGTTTGCAGAAGGCTTTGGATGACAGGGGAAGCCCAAAATCCATTTGCAGGGTCCCCACAGGGACTAACTAAGCCTCTGGGGAATCTCCCCTGATGGTAGTGCAGGCATGTGACTAGCCTTCCTGCCAGAAAGAGAGCATTGTAAAGTCTATTATGGTAGTTGTTGTTGTTGCTGTGGTTGTTAGGTCAGTTCCGACCCATAGCAGCACCGGGAACAATAGGACAAAACACAGCCCGGTTCTGCACCAGCCTCACGATTGTTCCCAGGTTTGTGGCCCCTGTTAGAACCTCTGTATCCGTCCATCTCCTTGAGGGGCTTCCTCTTTTGACTGCCCTTCTACCAGGCAAGAGGTCCTTCCCTAGGGACTGGGCTCTCCTGACAACATGTTCAAAGTACTTGGGATGAAATCTCACAATCTTGCCTCTAAGAAGCATGTTGATGGTCCTTCTTCCAAGACAGCTGTGTCTGTCATTTTAGCAGTCCATGGTATTGTCAGTATTCTTCTCCAGCACCATAATTCAAAGGTATCCATTTTGCTTCAGTCTTCCCTATCCAACGTTCAACTTTCATATGTATATGAGGCAACTGAATATGCCTTGGCTTGGGTCAGATGCACCTTCATCCTCAAAGTCACATCCTGGCTGCCAAGGCTCTAAAAAGGTCTTGTGTAGCAGGCTTACCCAATGCAATGTGCCTTTGATCTCTTGACTGCTACCTCTATGAGCTTTGAGTGTGGATCCCACAAGACAAAATCCTTGACAACTTCAATCTTTTCTCCACTTACCATGATCCAGTTGTGAGGATTTTGGTCTTCTTTAACTGAGTTGTAATCCATACTGAAGGCTGTAATCCTTGGTCTTCATTAGCAAGTGCCTCCAGTCCTCCCCACTTTGAACAAGCAAAACTGTGTCACCTGCGTGTCTCAGGCTGTTAATAAGCTTTCCTCTAATCTTGATGTCCTATTCTTCTTTCTATAATCCAGCTTGTCTGATGATTTGCTCAATATACAGATTGAACAAGGTTGCTAAAAGGATACAACCCTGACACACACCTTTCCAGATTTTAAACCATGCAGTATTCCCTTGTTCTATTCACACAACTGCCTCTTGATCCATGTGCAAGTTCCCATGCACTCAAGGATTACAGCCTTCAGTGTGGATTACAATTTAGTGTACTCCATCGCCACTGAACCGATAGACAACATTATGAGAATGGAGAAAAGATTAATGTTGTCGAGGATTTCCTCTTGCTTGGATCCACAAATGATACTCGTTGAAGCAGCAGTCGTGAGGTCAAATGTTCTATCGCATTGTGCAAACCTGCTGCCTAAGACCTTTTTAAAGTTGAAAAGCAAGGAAGTTACTTTAAGGTTCACGGTGTCCCTGGCCCAAACCATGGTATTTCCAATGGCATCCTATTCATGTGAAAATTGGGCATTGACTAAGGAAGATCCAAGAAGAATTCATGCGTTTGAATGATGGTGCTGGCAACAGGGTACTGGCAGTGCCGTAGACTGCCCAAAGAATCAACAAATCTGTCTCAGA